GGGCCAGGGGCTGAGCTCGGGGCTCCCAGCCACTCAGTAGGGGTCCAGGGTGTCCCCGATGGGCCCTCCCGAGAAGGTGGTGGCCAAAGAGGCCCCCCCCGTGCGCACGGCACCCAGTCAGGCAGGCAGCCCTCCGCCCGACCCCCAGGTCTCGGGGCCATAGCCCCCATGCCGTGTCCGTTGAAGTCACGACCCTCACGCGTCTCGTAGGAGGAAGTGTGAGTCACCTCAAAAAGCGCCATGTTCTTTCCTTCAAAGCTCTCCTGCTCCACCTCCACGTGATTGATGAACGGGCTGTTCTCTCGAGGGTTTCCATCTCCTGGAGGGGAAACCACTCAGGTCAGTCCTAGCAGCGGCTTTGAGCAGGACCGGCACCCCTGCAGGCCTGGGGGGGGCGGGGGGGGGGCCTGTGGAACACCGGGACCCTTGGCTCTGCCCAGCCAGGCGCGGGGCAGCAGGGGAGGGCGCTGGGCTCCAAGAACACAGACATGCGTGTCACCTGCAGCTGTCACCCCGTGCCTGGGACCCCTGGCAGCAATGCTCCTCAAGGTCGCAGCCCTGGCTGCTGGGACAGCTGTTTGTGCCTGAGCAGCCCAGCCCTCCCCGCCTCAGTTTCCCCACCTATGAGACAAGACTCAGGAACACAGAGGGAGGGCAGGTAACAAAGGTGGAGCTGATGGGGCAGGATGGGAAGGGCTACCATGCCCAGGGCAAGCTGAGGCCAGGTGCAGATGTGAGCCCAGGCCCACACGGGAGCGGAGCGGCCTCGGCAAATGCAGAGGGGTCAGGGCCCCATCCCTGCCGACCTGGGGTCCAGACCAGCAAGTCAGACCCTGTTGTCCCCCTGATATCAGACCCCCCCACACGGGGAAGTGATACCATCCTGTGAGCCAGTCCCAGGTCTGGCACGTTCAGGCTCTCGCAGCAGCACCACCACCCCCTTGGCAGGGAGGACCCCACCCCCCCACCACCGACAGGCAGGACCCCCACCCCCGGACTGTGCTTCCCCACCAAGTCAAGCGCAGCCCCCACTGACTCTCAGCGAGACCCAAGCTGGATGCCAGGACTGGGGGCGGCTAACACAACACCCAGGACCCCCAGCAGGACAGCTCCCTGGCACCTGGACAGTGGCCTGACCACAGGGAGAGAGTCCACCTCGTGGGAGCTGCACCTTGCGGCCCTGGCACCCCTACAAAGGCCCCAGAGCTGGGCTGAGGTGAGGCTGGAGGAGAGCAGCAGCCCACACACGGGCAGGGGGTGTGTCCTCGTGCAAGACAAGCGGCCACAGGGTCTGCAGGAGCCCCGCTGCCCAGGGGCTGCTGACCTCTGACCTTTGTTCCCTGAAGCCAGGTCCTGGCCCCAGCCCGTTGCCCCCCTGGCCCCCCCAACCATTCTGCATCCCATCAACCCTCCACCAAGAGCCTGGACGCAGCACAGCCACCACCCCGTGCCAGTGACCACGTCAGGGAGGAAGGAGGTGACCTCTGTGTGGGCAGGGGTCATGCCCAGGCCCTTGGCCAGTAAGCCAGGGACGGCCACCACTTCTCCCTATTTCTCCGACAGGCCTTAAGAAGAATGCACAGGCCCAACAGACACGAAACACGTCAACCTCACGTGTGATGTGTTCACAGAGCAGCACCACAACTTCACCCCATCCTGGGCAAGAGCGCAGGGGCCAGGGTGCAGGGGAGGGCAGGCGCTCCAGTCCTGGCAGTGCGGCTCGCTGAGGTGGTTCCAGGCCGGCACGGGCTTTCAGATGCCACAGCCACGTCTGCAGACCCCCCCAGTTAGCCAGACACCCCCAGACCAAGACACCCTGCGCTTGTTAGAACAGAAAAAAACCCTCTGCCCCCGCGTGGCCCATTCCCGGGCACTGAGGTTTAGACATGGCTCCATACACGATAAAGCCCTGCACGTATTTCAGATGCCAGGCTACGGTGGACACAAACGAAGCCCACGGGATGTCAGGAGGAAAGCAGGGACCAGAACGTGTCCCATCACGGGGGTTCAGCCTCTGAGAAGCACGCAGTGCCCAGCCCCCGGTGCCAGGCTCACGGGCAGCGCCGGCGCTATCTGCAGGGTGTCGGGCGAGAGGGCCCCATGGGCGGCCGCCCACTCGGGAACTTCAAGTCCCAAGCTGACCCCCTCAGGTCCTGCAGCGCCTCCCCGGAACACACATCTGGACAGACCCCGCCGCGGCCTGGCCAGAACCATTCCTAACAGGAAAGGGTGCTCACGCTAGGCCGCGCGGAAGACTGACGCCACCAGGTCACGGAGGAGCACAAAGTCCTCAGGTCCCAATGCAGTACCAGACCTCGAGACTGAGCACCTGATCACGGGCTCCAAATCCAAGCGTAGGTTAAAGCCACAAGCCCTGGGTGACAGGAGCCCCAGCTCAGCCCCATCTCATCAGGGACGGTGATGCTGCCCCACACGCAGAAGCCACGGACAGGTCAGGGGAGGTGAGCAGCCCGGGGGCCGTGCCCCCTCACTGGCACCCACTCGCGTCCCCTCAACACCGGCCCTGCCAGGGAGTCACCACTCCCGGGGGCGGGGGGGGCTCCTGCCTGAACGTCCAGAGTCAGCAGGCCGCGGCAGGGAAGGCAGCGCACGCCGCTAGGGGTGCGGACGTGGACACTCGCACGCAGGGGGACCTCCCCCCGGGTCTGTTCCTGATTAGTGAGGCGGGAGACCCTCGAGCCCGCCAGCACCAACTCAGGCCAGCTGGTGTTCTGACCTATGAGCCGACACCACACTGGAAGGCTTCCTAGCAAGGAGACTCCAGGGCCCCGGCGCCGGGAGAATTCACGGCAGGTGCTGTTGGTCCAACTTCCTAATAATCCCCCAAATCACCTCGTGAGTGGGGAGGCTTGCGTCACGGTTCCCGTGAGGAATAACCATGGGGACGGTGGGTGCAACAGGGTCACCCGAGGGCCCTGCGCTTGCGTCTGGACTGTCCCCGTCCCCAAGGGTCACTGGTAAGACCTGTCACCTGCCCGGATGCTTGGGGGTGGGGGTGCGGAGGGCCCCAGTGGCGGCTCAGAGACAAGGGGGAGCGATAGTGGGCCACCACGGGCACAGCAGAGAACCCCCTCCTCACCCCCCGTCAGCTGGGCAGTCCCTGAAATCCAGGCAGACCCTGCTCCTGAATGGCACACCCAGCTGCGCAAGGCCCCCCCGACCCTCAGGGTCCCAGCTCATGGCACCCGGCCCCCCACACCTCCACAACCACCACTCGCCCGCCTGGTCTGCAGTCTGCGCTACACGGCCTCTTCCGGACCTCAGCCCCCTGCGCTCGTCCGGGGACCGCGTCCCCGCTCAGCTTCCGAAACCGTGCCCTCTGTTCCCCACACTTAGAAAAAAATGATGGCCAAACACAAATGACCATATTTCAACTGGACACTATAATCACCCCAAGCAGCGATCAAGGAAACGGCCCAAGTACCGAGACTAAATCCCGCGCTGAAGACTCTGGGAAACTGGGGACCCTGGGAGGGAGTGCCCTTTCCAGAGATTCGGGTGAGCACTCCTAAAACCAGCATGAGTCTGTGAGCACACCGTCCGCATCTGAGCGTCACGTGAGTGCACCCTCGCTGCTGGGACAGGCGGTTGGGGGGCGGGCTCACCTCCACCCACACACCCACGTCAGAACGACAGGGCACCACTGACGGGGCTCCTGCTGGCCACCTCCAAAACACTGAGAGTCAGAATGAAAGATCACAGTACAGATCCAGGAACGACTGGGGAAGGGCAGCCACACCCAGCCGAGGACAGACGGAAAGGCCACCGAACGATGGCCACTGATGGCCGCGTGCACCAGACCCGCGAGCAGACACAAGTTGAGGTGTGCAGCAGCGGACACAGGGCCCGGGCCCACGGCACCTGCTGCACATCACAAGGCAGGCACACCCCAGGGGAGAAGCCGCCCGCGGACCTAACCAAGGTCAAGGTTAACACCAAGGTCACACCCAGGGGAGAAAACTCCTACCAGCCATGACTTGAGGAAGCGTGTGACAACCGCAGACAGAGAGAAGCTGCCCCTCAGGTAAGCGATACCGCGGAGGACAAAGACAGGCACGGAAGGTTCTGGAAGCTGGGAGACAGGGAGAGCAGAGCAGCACGTCCTCTGATAAAGGACACGGCTGGGCCGGCTGAGCCGGAGGACAGCTGCGTCACCTCCATGCGTCCTGTCGGCCACCCACCCAGCGGCTCAGGGACACCCTGAAGGGCAGCAGACGGGGAGAGACACAGCTAATGTAGCCGAACGTCGATATCAGGCAATTCGGGCCAACGGGGTACGCAAGGATCCTCCAAGCGCTCACAACTCCTCCGAACTCACGGCTAAGGCAAAACCAAGCTTAAAAACAGAAACTATTCCAACAGAAGGAAAACCACTTCTAAGAGAGTCCTCCCTGAAGAGAAAGCCCAGGCTAGCCGTGTGGGCCTGGATGGCCGCCTAAAGGTCCCCGTGCGTCTCACCTGAACTCTGCCAACTGCGCGGGGCACACCACCCCCACAGCAACTCCGCAGGCACAACCCAAGAAAGCCACGTCATCCCGGGGGGTCGGGCGCTCCCAAGACCCCTGCCTTCCTGACGAGTCTGAAGATTCTGCTCGCTTGATGACGGGCCCGACGACAAGCCTGGGCAGAGGGCAGCCAGGCCCCGCCAGGCCCCACCAGGCCCCGCCGCGTCCTCCCGGGATGAGTTCCCCTAGGTGGCCTCTGCCAGGACCATGCGGAGGGACAGACACACACACAACACGCCGGGCCGGCCGGGGTGTCCACCAGTGCCGCAGCACGAGGTCACAGGACTCGTCCCCACACCGTCTGCGGCAAGCTCCTCTCCCACTTTCTGCCACAGGGAACCCACGTCAGGCTCACCTGCACGTCTAAGGACGGAAAACACTCGCCTCCCATTTACAGAAATCATTTTAAAACCCGTTTGTTATAAATGCTCGTTTGCAGCAATGTCACAACTCAGCTGAGCCCTGCGATCCCTTCGGAGTGAGACACAGCGACCCGGAGCACGTTGAAGCCAGAGCAGAGCATGATCAGCACCCCAGGGAGCAGGGGGCCCCCCGAGGCAGGCAGCACTGCAGGGGGGCGGGCCCTGAGGCGGGTGGCACCATGGGGGGCAGGCCTTGTGCGCCGAATCCCAGACACCAGCAGCGCCCGGCCTGGCTCTGGGTTTGCAGCTCTGGGGGGGTCCCACCGCACGGCTGGCTGTGGACTCCAGGTGCTCCCACACTGGACCTGCTTTTCTGTGACCGGGCAGCCCCTTCCCAGAACGGCAAGCTGAAGGACCCCACGGCAGCACAC